AGTTCCTTCTTTCATGACACGATCTTCTACGAGATCAAAAGAATGCTTCTCTCTCATTGCTTGAAGAAAATACATCGATAGGTTTTGCTTGTTCTCATGTTCAATGGAGAAAACAGGTTTCTTTCCGGTCAAAAGCTCCAGAAGAATGACCCCGAAGCTATAAACATCACTTTTCTCCGTCAATTGACTAGTCTGGTAATATTCTGGATCTAAGTATCCAAAGGTGCCTTGGATAGCAGTAATTATATGAGTTTCATCAAGCGGGATAAATCTTGAGGTTCCAAAATCCGATACTTTTGCCATGAAATGATCATCCAAAAGAATATTTGATGACTTAACATCTCTATGTAAAATTGATATTGAAGCAGCTGAGTGTAGATAGGCAAGTGCTCCGGCAATTTCTATAGCGATCCTCAGACGAGCTTCCCATGATAATGCAGAATTACCATATGAAACATGGAGATGGTCTGCAAGGGTTCCATTGGAGATGAATTCATAGACTAATAAGGGAACTTCTGTTTCTAAACAGCATCCAAAAAGTCTTAAGATGTTTCTATGATTAATTTGAGAAAGAATTACAACCTCATTGATGAATTGATCTATCTCACTCTTCTTTACTATTTTGGACTTCTTTACGGCGACTACACGTTGATCCGACAAAATTCCTTTATAAACTGTACCATGTCCTCCGTGGCCGAGTATTCGAGTTTCATCAAAATTATTAGTTGCCTTTTCTATCTCTTCTAGAGAAAATATCTTTGTCCTCTCAGCAACGTCTTCATTAGAAGAGATTAGCTGTTGTAATAGTAGTCCATGATTTTGCTGGAAGTGTCTCTCTCTTATTTTCTTTTGCTTTCTTATCTTCCATTTCCTTCTTAGGATGATAAAACTTATGCTTAAGAGCAATAAGCCACTGCCAAGACTTACACCGATTATGACACCTGCACAATACCACTCAAATTTTAGCTTCACTAGTCTTTCCTTTTTGTTCTCACGCTGCAGATTATGTACTTTAATATTTAATCACCTTTTGATTTATGTCAAACATGGTAATATTTATTTTGCATTTTTGTAAGCAAATAAGTTTGGAGAACTTACCTAACAAAACTGTCTGTTTTTTGTCAGGAGGAAGGCATTCATAGCCACCTATCGTATTTATGCATGTCCCATTGCAATCGTAATTGTTGGGACCGCTGCACTCGTCAATATCTAAGAAACCATAAAAAAAATTAGTAGTATTATATCACATTAACTTCAGAACCCAAATTGCAATATATATATATAGTGTCAGAAATTTAAAAATGATTATCAGCAAAGGTTTAGTCACATAGTTTATTACATAATAAAATTTTATGAGGTGCACATTGACAATTTATTTTGTTTAAAAGTATAATATATTAACTAAATATGTGAGGTACAAAAATAACTCAGTAGGTTCAAGCACAAAAGACATGCACATTGACAATTTAGTTTCCATTTCTAGCATCAACATTGATCAAATTAGTTTTGTGATGCACGGTATTCATTCCTAATTAATATTACTTTCTACCGGAGGAAAAAGATTCTGAGCATTTCAAGAGTCCTTTTTTCAAATAGAAGAACTAAGAGTGTCAACTTGACAAGGGTGCGATCGTCCTTAAAATCTCGCGTAGTGGTGTTAATTCTAGTGTGTAAACTTAGTTGACACCATCTTACATGTATTGATTCTAGTATGTTATAGAGACATGCAGTTAAAATAGCTTAAGGCACCGGTATTAGGTGATGTTCGATAAGGATATTTAGGGAATTATGCAAATAACATCTATCATTGTACTTATGAGAAAGAAAGAAAACTTCGGAAGGCTAATGTTTCACGTGTGTTTTGCTTTTCAACATTCTGAGAAGTGGTTCTGTTGTATGTCATAGTGCATGCACAAGAGAGAGAGAGAGAGAGAGAGAGAGAGAGAGAGATTTGGCTTTTGAGTACCTTTACATCCATCGGCAATGTATGGATTTCCTTGATAACCTTTAGCGCAATTGCAACGATATCCCCAACTATCTTCGTTAGAAGTTTTGGTAATGTCCTCACATACACTGTTTTTGTCGACACATGCGAATGTGTCCTTGTTCTGTCTGGCCTCCTCGCAATGCTGAATCTCAATTACCCAACTAAAGATGGACTGCTGTTCAAGTCGAGCGAAAGGTCCAGTTTCATATGAAAAAAAGTAGCTGTAGTAATAAATGTAAGAACCGAAATAACTAATGGTTGGTGTTGTGTTCAGTGCGCTGGCTACCAGTTGTCCTTCCTCCAACGAGATATTGTGCACTATGTAATAGCGGTGGAAGAAGAGAGTGGGAGGTTTGGATGTCTCGTTGCATGTAAGAGCAAATGCCTGGCTTCTGTAACAACGCTCTTTTAGCCCGAATGGAAAAGAGACGCTAATACCCCCACATTTTGTTTGACAGCCTTTGTCCGGAGCAAAAGTAGGAGATATTTCTGTTGATATGAACAAACAGGTCAGCAGCAGAAATTGCCATAAGCTTACCATGTTTTTCTTTTTCGGATTGGTCAAAACGGACTCTATAATTTGATTTATATCTTACAAGTCAGCATCTACCGATACGAAGTG